TCTCTCTCTCTCTCTCTCTCTCTCTCTCTCTCTCTCTCTCTCTCTCTCTCTCTCTCTCTCTCTCTCTCTCTCTCGCCCGCGCGCGCGCGCGCGCGTCCGCCTGGGACAAATTCGCACCCGTACACAGTCATGTTGGGAACCCTTACGTTCCCTGTACCCCACCGTACAGATGGCTTCTATACATTCATTGCCAGGGTACGTTATGCTCGGGGGACGACCGTAGCCATGGACGTTGTACTCTGTGTGTGTGTGTGTGTGTGTGTCTAAGTCCGCACAAGACAAATTTGTCTACAGTCGTAGTTTCACTGACGCAACGAATTAGAGCCGAGGAGACACAAGCCACAACAGAAAGGAGACAGAGGTAGAGGCGACACAGAAAGAAACTCGGCAATCCCGAACGCAACTTCATAAAAGATGAACATGAAGCTCAGAGCGAAAGAATCGCTTGGCGTTGACCCAACCGGTTTCGCGCGGCCACCAAACCGCGCTCATCAGGGGGTTTTGGAAGTAACGAGCAGATGCTCGGAGACTTCTTATCGGTGTGTTGATCCGGTAACGCCAAAAGGCTCGGTCAGTCCTATCGAAAAGTCTAGAAACTACCGATCTACAGTACTGAAGGATCCCCCAATAGACAAAACTAAAAACAAGGCCGTGCCTCCGAACGGCCCCCCAGAAAGTGGCGTTCACATACCTATACTAAAAGTCCAAAAGTCCAAAAGTCCTCAAATCCCCATCAAAACAGGTCTTTAATCGGACCCCTCCGAACCTATCAAATCATCACCAACCAGTCAGGCTCACCAGCCAATGATTTCATAATCCACCTTGTCTGTGAGAAAATCTAATAAGAGCAGTGTCAAAAAAACAATCGGGATACCCACGTCTCCACAGTTCATGCTTCAGGGCCAACAAGAACCTTAACTCCATTCCTTCCACCGATGTATAATTCTTAGCGCGATGCAGAAAAGATCCGATGACAACCATCTTCTGTTGTCTGCTAGAGAACGAGCAGAAGTCCTGAATACACCAAAAAACAAACCCATCATCCATTTGTTCCGTCTGGTTCTTCAAAACAGAACAACAGATAACTCCAACATCACCCGTTCCAACGAGAAGTTCACATCCAAGGTAAGCCCATGTTCCACCATTATCTGTACGTTCCAAGGTCAAATTACTATCGTAACAAGTCATGAACCTCCATATGATCTGCTTACCCTTTTCCAACAAGTAAACTTCATCTGTTTTACAACGCACAAAAACGGAAACATCATCAATTAGTCGAAAGCCTGAAAAGAACTTACGGTCCCTACCCAAGGAGGTTAAGAAACAAAATTCATTGTATGCGCACAGTAGACACGCCAAAGCGGGGCTGGAAGATTTCCCCATAGGAATCCCAACGATCTGTCGCAAAATTCGACCGGCTGCCAAAACATAGGTGTGTTCCAACTCAAAAGCAACAAAACTCATTTTTTTGTGAAAAGAGATCAGCTTCCAGCCGTCTTGGATCTTACCTGTTAACAGTTTAACTCCTTTCCCCCATTTTTTTACGGCAACACCCTCTAACCTCCTTCTGTTCCCAAAGGTCAACAACCCAGTCCAACGCCTCAAGAATAGAGTTATGCGGCAGGTGGGAAAACATCTCCTTCACATCAAAGGAGCCGCCAATCAACTTTTCACCACATCGAATCTCTATGTTGATGTCTTGGATCTTCTTCACCAATTGATCAGCACTTTTCAGATTCAGATTACTCCCCTCCGACAGGTTCTACAATAAACAATTGACGGCACGCAAAATAATTTTGCCACCTTTAGTGGAGCATTCTGGAAAAGAAGGGCATATTGGTCGCCAACGCCCCACATCCTTATGTTTCGGAATACATTAGGCTCTCCCCAAACTTCCCTTCACATTCCATTTGCCAACAGTGAGTAGGTCAAGATTAACATATTCCTTACGGCAGTTTTGCAAAACAACCTCTTCGTCCTCGCTAACTGGTACGAATGCAGGGTTTTCCAAAAACAGTTTAAGCATTCCCTTCTCATATACCTTGGGGCAACAAACAAAAGTGTCCCCCCCATTATGGTCCACGGGAGAAAAAACAAGCCCATCAAGCGAATCTCGAAAGGAACATACCTCGGTTTCAGTGATCGGACTCGTTCCAACATAATCGGAAACCAACCCTCCCTTCATCACACACTCAGCGAGGTCAACCTGATCTAACATAGACTGGTCAAACGAGGGTAAAGCGCTTTCAATAAAACTCAGAGAAATCTGACGATGAAGGGAGCGAACCAAATTACCACCATCTGGCCTGGTTATATTACGGGAGTTCTTCATCGCAATCGGTACTATATCAAGATCGTTGAGACGAAAGGCAACGTGGCCATCCTGCCGTGGTATTTCCTTGTCCACCTCAGCACACCTACATGGAAAAGTAACATGTCGTGAACATTGTCGAAAATTATGAATCAGTCCTCCAATGGTCTTACTTCGAGTCCACATGATCCGCATCCGTCGAATCAACATGACCTTCTATGCAAACCCAATGTCAAGTTTGGACAGAATACGTACGCAGAGCAAGCGAACCTTCGATTTGCATATCTTATCATCAAAACGGATACGAATCACAATCCTTTGTCTCACGGAGATTCCAAAACATTGAAGGATGCAATTAGACAAAATGCAACGTAGACGAAAACGAGTCCGTTTCTCAGAAAAAGTCCTAATAGCACTATAAGCAAAAACCAAGGTGTCAAAATCCCAGTGATACAAGATTTCTGTACTCGGTGGTTGACTAAGAAATCGGGCAAGAGGTTCCTTAAATATCAAGGATTTACATAAGAAGGGAACAATGCGCTCAACATCAAACGAGACACCATTCTTCAGCCAACCCCTAACATAACGAAATTCCATACGTCCAAATACACTGGATACCATACTGCCTCCATACAATTTCCTCATAACTCTCCATCCATCAATTAACAATTCTCCCCCTGAGCAAACAATGTGAACATGATAACGATTCCTCTTCTTACATTCATCAAGAATCGAGAGTAAGTTCCTAGAGGACAGACCAAGATCAGAGTGGAATTCAATCAAGTTCAATTCCTTGTGAGTATGCGATCTGCCTACATCAACCGTGCTCTTTAATATGTTCCTTCTCAATCTTTCCCTTTTTCCCAACCTGGGTTTCTTACTCCGTCGATGTTTGTCCCTACTGTTCAATGCAGGACTTAATCTTCGGATTAAAAACTTCTCAACATCAAGGACGTCCGACTCAGAACAACGAAATAACGGAATAGGAACATAATCACCGATCCCCCTTCGTTGCAGCCAACGATATAACTTCTCATTACGTTTTTCCTTCCCTCCCAAAATCTCACACGTTCCCCGATACACATGCTCCAACCACCTCGTATACAAATCCCTAGATGTACTTCCTACGTAGAGATGCTTACACGAAGGCGAGAATAACACGCACACCAACGGTCCATCCCACGAATCAAACGAGCCCTCCTCGTTAGTCAAATAGCAACGAATGAACGGAACCAAACACTTTCCCCAAGGGATATTACCACAAAGCACTAAAAGGCAGACAATAAAACACAATAGATAGTTGAGTTGTCGATTTCTCACCAAGTCAATAGAGTAGGAGTGAAGTCTAGTCAATCCACGAATCAAGGTCCAAAGGTGAGTTACGTCCGGGAAAGTAGCTAAGAAGCAGCGGAGTCGTCACCATCCTCCATTTCATGTTCCTCTGTTGCCCCCGCCATAACTTCAACCACGGAGTCTTCCTTACCTTTCTCCTTGTCCGGTCCATCAATCCCAAACATCCATTGCACTCGGCGATAGATGATCTCCTCTTTGGTTGGTTCCAGCGTGGTATAAGCCACATCCTCTTCTCGGCAGATACGTTGAATCTCCTCCTTATTCTTCTTACGTAAATTCTTCCTTTCCTGTTGAACAAAAGCCTCACGATCATTCATCTCAATGCCTGGTGTTGAGTTGCCCTTCTTTTTAGAGGATGAACAGGGAGGTTTGTGAGCAGATGGTCCGGCTGCCTCATCCAAACGACTCTTGAGATTAGTACAGTTCTTCCTCTTCTCCATGTCAAGTCTGGCCATAGCCTCCTTAAGTCGCTCCACCTCCTTCTCGGCTTCAATTCGCCCCCCCGCATCTTTCAGTCGTAACTCCCTGAGTGTATTGACCTCCATTTGGTGCCTCTCAATAATCCCTTTAATAACAGGATCCGCTCATAGTCCTGTTCCAACTCGATCAGTGCCAGGATTAGCAGTTCCAACCCCCGGAGATCCCCGAGATCGAACCCTAGATTGGGTAACTGGACTGCTGACTGCAATGTTCCCGCGTTTATTTCCTGGTCTAAGCGCTTCGGCTTTCCACAACTAAGCATTCGCCTCGGCTTCTTCTTTGCTCTTGATCAGGGCAGAAATCTTGTCTTCCATCATAGCAAGTCGTCGGTCAGCTACCGCGCGCGCTTCTTCAAGTTCAATTTTCAAACGTTCCACAACATCCATGTCCACAGCAGGTTTCACAGTTCCATCAGAAGTCACTACTTCTGAATGACGAGAGAGTTTGCCGACTTCCTCACGCAGCTTGGCAAGCTCAGTGCAGTTTTGATCACGCTTATCGATCTTCTCACACACCTTTTCCCATTGCTTACAAAGTTCTTGGCTCATCTTGGAGTACTGTTCATCTCTTTCCTTTTTCTCCTGTGCCCGACTTTCTTCATCTTCCTTTTCCTTAATCTTTCGTTCGCTCCCCTCTCGTGCAGCGATTTCCTTAGCTAAATCGGCATCGTGCTTGGCCTTGATACGTCCCACGACATCTTCTAGGGTGGCAACACGAGTTCGTAGCCATGACTTCTCATTGGAATGCCGTTAACAGCAGGTGCAGCGATCCCCACACCACCTCCATTGCCTGGTGCAGTCATAATAGGTTGGGGCGGAACTAACGCCATGCTAGTGCTAGCTTGTCCTCCATTAAGTCTCTTATCCGGAAGTGGGCAGAATCTTGAGATGTGTCCGTGCTGTCCACAGTTGTAGCAGCTTCGGTTCTCCACGTAGCGTCCATCCGCTTGCATACCTTGAGATGCCATGATGAAGCCACCTGAAGCGTAGTACTACTTCTATGCTGGTTACTCCTTGTGTGAAAGTCTACAGTCATAGTTTCACTGACGCGACGAATTAGAGCCGAGGAGACACAAGCCACAACAGAAAGGAGACAGAGGTAGAGGCGACACAGAAAGAAACTCAGCAAACCCGAACGTGACTTCATAAAAGATGAACATGAAGCTCGGAGCGAAAGAATAGCTTGGTGTTGACCCGACCGGTTTCGCGCGGCCGCCAAACCCGAACGTGACTTCTTAAAGTGTGACTCGGGAGCAGTGTCCTCTTTTTTTCTTTTTTTTTTTTAACAAACGCCCCGGCCAGTGTTAGTGTTGCTGATAAGAGCAGACACCACTAACACCTAGGGAGAGGCTCCATCTATTGGTGGGGAGCATCACCTGCTGGAAAACAGGTCCACCGTCCCATATTACAAAAGGACTAATATCTGAGAATGTCTGAGGAATGTCTGAGGATGTCTCAGACAGGTCCACCGTCCCATATTACAAAAGGACTAATATCTGAGAATGTCTGAGGAATGTCTGAGGATGTCTCAGCATGTCTGAGAATGAAATGTCTGAGAAAGGTGAGGAAGATGAGGACTGGGACTGTGGGGCCTGCCAGCATTGATTGCCCTACAACCCAGGGGATTGACTGAGCAGGCCTGTATAGTGTTCAGTAGTGTAGTCCTTTATGAACATGGAATATTGTGTATCTCTTCACCCTCGGAGAAGGGCGCCAGATGAACGTTTCAGGGCTGATACTATTCACTGACTACTCCCTCCAGACCCTGCCCGATGTCATAGGCTGCTCAGGCTATCCTTAGCGGGGTCCTCCCCAGGGGGCTCCAGGGAGGAGTTCCGCATGTGGGCGTTGATACAGAAATAGAAGGGATCATAGGGGGATCATAGGGATCAGATATCACATTCCTTGTGTCGGTCATATTAGGATCCATGTTGGGTCTAGCATAAGCAGACTTTAACTGTATCCAGTACAGTGATCTCTGTTCTTCTATTGATTACTTCGACCACTTCTATCAGAAGATCCGAGGATGCGTGGTGGGAAACCCGTCTAGGCAGTTCATTACTTCGACTATTTTTATCAGAAGACCCAAGGGTGCGTGGTGGCAAACCCATCTAGGCGGTTCAGGCTTTCTTAAGGCCCATGGAAGAATTAGTACATAGACTTGATGGGGATGAGGCAGAACCCAGAGTTAGAGGAACCCTCCCCGGTGCCCCCTGGGGAAGGGTTCCCGCTAATCATGAATCACAGCCTTGTTGTATCAGTGCTTAATGTTTCTTCTGGCGCCCTCCCCCCGGGGGTGAAGAGATACGGAGGACAACTATACACAATAGATATACCTGCTCAGTTAATCCCCTGAGATACAGGGCAATCAATGCTGGCAGGCCGCACAACCACGGTTCCCAAGATCTTCTGTATATTTTTCTGTTAAGGGACGCTGGACCCTTTTTCCAGCTGGTGACGCTCCCCACCAATAGATGGAGGCCGAAACGACATGACGGCCGCCGATCGGATTTATCAAAGGCAGTCGTCGTCGGACCCGACCTCCGAAGATTCAGGAGTTTGGGAAAACTGCCAGTTTTTCCTATTTTCCCATGCGGGAAAGGTACTAGTGCTTTAATCGGCAGCCAAAAAAAAAAAAAAAAAAAAAAAAAAAGTATCTGGACGTGTTTGTGGAGATGTTGGGTTCACGAAACTCAACGTCATTTTTGCATAGACACGTCCAGATAGCATCGAGAAAAGGCAAGGCTGCTGTGGGACTCTGCACCCGACCCTGTGGAGCTCACGCAGAGAGGTTGCAAATTCCGTTACAAGTTGAGTCCCGATGGACTGTGCGGGCGAATTAAAAACTGGGAGCGGGCGCAAATTTGTTCCCAGAGAGAGAGAGAGAGAGACTCTCTCTCTCTCTCTCTCTCTCTCTCTCTCTCTCTCTCTCTCTCTCTCTCNAAAAAAAAAAAAAAAAAAAAAAAAAAAAAAAAAAAGGGATAAGGTTGGTTGGCCCAAAGTGCTGAAACTCCTTTGGGGTTGAGGGAGCGGCCGGTGCGGGCGATTAGCGTAGCGCTCCGTTCCGGACCGTCGCCATACGCGGGTCGTCGGCGCTATCTGGCCGCGAACCTCGCCATCACGACGGGGAGCGGAGGTCAGCCATGTCCGTCTCTTCTTCAGGGACGAAGAACATGGTTCGCTCAGGTAGTCCTTAAGATAGGCTAGTGTAGGACCGCCCGGGGAGGGTGTGGCTTATGCCAGTGATAAGTTATCAACGGATCTCACAACATTGGATAGCCCCGGCCAGGGGGGATATATCGTAACTTTCGAGGGTGATAGCATGTCTTTGGGTTCCCGAGTGACTTGGTGGCGATTGCCCCCTCATTGGTTCTTCTCTCAGGTCACGGTAGCGATTACGTGCAGACGCTACGTCCTCACAACCGTTGTTTCATCGTTAAAATACCTGCGGCAGCCCTTGTTCGAAGGTGATGGCGAATCAAGATTCACACAGGAGGTGCGACCCTCCTAATCCATCGGCGAATGCAGGAATGGTGGATAGATTAAGAATTTCAGTAGAAAAGTGTTATATGCAGGGAATTTGTCCGAACGATGTGGCGTTGGGAGAAGTAGTAAAAGATAGGGAGGGTAAACGCTTTGTTGTTAATGGTCAAGTCAACGCAGTCAAAGAAGCATGGCTGAAGGACCATACTGTGATTGTCACGTTCCAAGGGGAAACGCGTAATCTCTCAAGGCAAGTCAAAGAAGATCTAATCAGAGCGTATGAGGACGGCTGGTTTGTCAAAAAATTGTTCAGCCCAGCATCCGATCAGGTTGTTTTCATTAAAAAAAAAAAATAAAAAAAAAAAAAATAAGGGTAAAATTTGAGGGTGCAAACGTTGTTTTCTATGTCGCGAGATCGAAGGAAATCGCAACCTGGCTGCTCCGCCAGCAGGATCTCAAGATCAAGCTTCAGGAGACAGAAGAATACAGCGTCTCATTCAAACCTTGGCTACCTCGTCAAGAACTGAAGGAAATCAGGTTTCAAGAGGCAGAGACGAGATTTTGGATTATGGCGTTGTGAGTGCCCCTAGACGCATATTTCTACCTTCATAGTGTTGTCCAAGGCATGTTCGGGGAAGTGCGAACGATGCATCCACCAGAATTTGATAGCTCAAGACCGAAACTGATGAATATCAAGTTTGATATGGCTCCGGAGGCAAGAGAGAAAGTGGATGACGACCTAACTATTCAAGCTCCGTCGGGAGAAAGATGGAAGGTGGACATCGCCACCCCGTACACCGACTGGTGTAAAAGATGTCGATGGTATTTTCACACGGAAGACAGTTGTCCACGAGCGCGCCAAGGAGAAGGCTTAGGCTTCTCAGGCCAAAGAACACGGGGACACAAGGCACGATTCTCCCAACATCAGCAGAGACAAGTCAGACAGACGGGAGCCACCCAAGCAACCAAGGAAAGACCTACTGTACCTCACCAGGGTCCTGGCCCGAACGCGAATCATAGTGACACGAATGCGACACAAGGTCATAATCCGAGATGGGCGGATCAAGTTGCGGTGGAATGCTTCGTGCGCGTTGAGCAAGGGATGAGAGGGGGCGTGGGGCCTCTGTATGGGGTGCCGGGTATGGCAGAAAGAGATCGAAGTTCGGGACCGCAAGGGAGCAATCCTAGGTGGGCGGGCGCAGCGGCAGAGGTACGATGGAGGCAACCATCTCAGAGGCAGCCTTCCACGCAGGCGCTGTACGGGCGTTACGAATTTGCTAACGAACCGGGTCCAGAGGAAGGTACACTTGGCGGGAGACGATACAATCGACACTTTATTGAGCACTCAGGGGGAATGCAGGGAATCCTTCCTTGGAGGGAGAGGTCAGTCTGTCAGACGGGTCAGAGGTCTGACTGGCACGCGGGCGATCAAATCGACGAAAGGGAGTTGTTGGCTGCCGGATCGATGCAATGGCAGGAGGATCGTTGGGGTGCTGGCCAACAGGGCGCACGTATGCAAGGATCGGAACAGGTTCATCAGGACCAGTATGAGTGGCGAGCACCAGCTCAACCTCTTCCAAGATACCCCTCAAGCCAATACAATTGGAGAGACTTCGTCCCTCAGGGTAGGGACGCGTATCCTAT